ATATATATATATATGGTAGTATTCTAAGAGAAATAATTTGGAGATTTCTAGAAAAAAAAAATATGTGGATCTTGCTTATATTCAAGTCATCAAGTATACAAACATACTAAAGCTATTATTTGTGTTTAAACACAAGGAAGATTGACCAAGTATTTTCCTATTTAAGTTGGATTACATTAGGGATCAACTTTAGGCCCATATTATTTTTACTTTAGTTATGGATGTTCTTAATGGACATTTACAAAAGGTTGTGCCTTGGCTTATGCCGCCTAATGATATCCTTCTTGTGGCCAAGACTAGGGAGAGTTCAAGAAAAAATTGAACTATGGATGTCAACTTTAGATTCTAAAAGCTTTCGTTTAAGTAGATCTAAAATTAAATACATGGAATGTAATTTTAGTGGTAGTAGATTTAGCAGCACAGTTGTAATAATGAGTGATCAAATCATTAAAATGAGTGAACGTTGTAGATATCTCGATTCAATTGTTCACATTTGATATTGGTATAGATGGGAATGTTATTATTAGAATTCAAGTTGGATAGTTGAAGTGAAGTAACGCATCGGGCCTATTATGTGATAGAAAAGAATCTCTTAGACATAAAGGAAAATTTTATAAGATAATGATGAGAACTACAATGCTTATGGTGCAGAATGTTGGCTAGTAAAAGAAAAACATAAAATTTAAGGTTTGCTGAGATGAGAATGTCAGATTGATGAGCAGTTTTGTACTTGGAGATAAAATGTGAAATGAATATATTCGTGAAAGGGTTGGAACATCTTTAGTGACATATAATATTAAAGAGAGAGCCTTAGATGGTTTGGTCACATTAAACATTGACCACTTGATGACCCAATTAGAAGAATAGTTGTTTTAGATTTAACCTATGTTAAGAAAAAAAAGGTAGATCAAAATAGACTTGGCATTTTTTTATAAAAAATGATCTTAATTTATTAAAATTAAATGAAAATATGACAATCAATAAAACACAAAGGAAAAAAATTGATTCATGTAGCCTATCTCACTTAGTGGGATAAAGGTATGTTGTTGTTATGATGTTATCAAATTAACTTCATGCAACTAGACTACAAACAATGCAACATAATCATGCTAAGATGTATGGAGTTTAATTCTCTTAGGACGTAGGGCCCCGAATCACTCGTGAGTATATACAACCAGTTAAAGATTGTGCTTTTGTAGAGGAAATGTGAAAGAAAGAGAGATGGGTGCAAGACCTGGGAGAGGTTTCAGAAATTATCTATTGAACTTGAGCTCACTTGAGCTCCGGTAAGCCAAATATTGGGGTCATCAGAAATTTTCCGAGCTACTAGATTTTTTAAAGTGAGAGATAAAGCGAGAGAGAGAGAGAGAGAGAGAGAGAGAGAGAGAGAGAGTTCTAAAAACCCAAGAAATCTCTCGAAAAGGGGGGTCTCGTCTCTCTCTTAGCTTGACTTTCTTTTTAAACAAAGGAAAATCAATAAAAAAATATATTTAGTGATGTATGGTTCCCATCCATTGTGTCTTGATGAAAAGATTATGACGTGGAAGTAAGGCAGCATTTTTAAAGATGGATGAACCTTCGTTTTTGCAGGTAATGAAAACCATCTTTGGTAAATATATCCCTCTGTCAACTGAGCTACCTCCCATGGGTGAAAGATAAGCTCAACCACTTCGACAAATGAGCTCAATTTTGTCACTTTGGTATGTGGGCTCGGTTCAACCACTTCGGCAAATGAGCTCGGTTCAACCACTTCAGAAGGAAGACTCGGATCAGCCACTTCAGCAAGTGGGCTCCATAATACTCGTAAAATAATCCTATACAATTATATTTGTGTATACACCTAAAGAAGTAGAACCTAAGTTTTCTAGATAAAGTACGATAGTCAATTTATTAGGACGAATAAGTTGAGATCTTGTGATAAACGAGTCCAAGAGATATTCCAATACTAGTAACAAACTCTCTTTAGAAAAATAAGCATTTTTTAAAGGAAAAATAGTTACTAAAAGTACAATATAACAAAAAGAGTAAGTATTAGACAATACGATCAATCTACCTTAATTGTCAAAACTTAAAAGCATCTTCATACATAAAACCATCAGTAAAAAGTCCAAAAATGCGCAGTATTAACTTAATATTCTCCAAATAATTCTTTCCAAAACTTTGACATATCTAACATCAAGAATCTAAATATAAAAGTAGTGTATAAAAAATCATGCATACGAGGAACCCTGATTGAAAATGCCTCCAGAACTGGAGAATAAGAATAGCCAAGTAAATTAGTGGCTTTAAGAATTATGAACAGAAGTATAGAGTATAGCACAAATTCAAACGAAAGTATAAGTGTGAGGTCCAACACAGTTAAATGTGCAGCCAATCTTAGACGGCGCATTTACATACATACCACCCAATTCATATGTATTTGCATATCTAACACCTAAAGAAATCAGCCAGACGAGGAGTAAGAGATGGGATGAAGGAAGAAGATAATTCATGAAGAGAAATTGATTAGACAAATGGAGAAGGTTTTCACAAAAGAGTGACGAAGATTATACTGTAAAGACATACTGAAATCTTCAAGATGAGGAAGAGATTAGGTAATTGGAGAAGGCTGTTCGAGTGAGGAGGAAGGACATTGGGCAGATGGAGAAGTTTCAGAAGGATTAAGAAGGTTTTGTTGCTGCAAAGGCATATTGTAATGAGTTTGGGAGAACAACAAGGAGTCAGCATTCTGGGCTTAATTTTCCATTCAATCTTGGAATGCCAGAGGTGGTGGACAGCAATTGAAGGAGGCTGTTAGCAGCTGTCCAGAGTGCCAAAAGCAACAATGCAAACAAATTTACAGGGACAAGAACACTGCAGAAAAATAATTGTATATGAAGGCCTTTTTATGCTTTTATTGATTAAAATGGCACAAAATTGATGCAGTTCTAGTGTAGTGATGCTAACTTTGATTCAAGACTTGTTTTGGTCACAAGTAAAATGAGTTTAGAATATTCATTTTGCTAGGATTTTTCTTTGTTTGATGCTTGATTGAGAGTAATGAAGGACATGTTACCATCATTAGGACAGGCCAATAATA